TTACACCCAATTTTTGTTCATTCATCTCATATCTTTGTCTATTTCTCAGAGTAATGTGTTCTTTGGCCTTCCTCATTTCCTTTTGCCTTCAGGGTTCCAAGTGAGGGCTTGTCTTGTGACGATGTTGAGTGCTTTACGCAATGTGTGTCCTATCCACTTCCACCGCTTCTTCATGATTTCCTCCTCCACTGGAATCTGGTTTGTTCTCTCCCACAGTACGTTGGTGCTGATGGTGTCTGGTCAACGAATACGAAGTATTTTGCGTAGACAACTGTTAATAAACACTTGTATCTTCTGGATGATGGCTTTTGTAGTTTTCCAAGTTTCCTCTCCATACAGTATAACCGTGTTGACATTTGTATTGAAAATCCTGATTTTGGTTTTGGTTGAAAGTTGTTTGGATTTCCAGATATTTTTCAACTGTACAAATGCAGCCCTTGCTTTGCCGATCCGCGCCCTCCCATCTGCATCTGATCCACCTTTGTTGTCGATGATGCTGCCCAGATATGTAAAGGTGTCAACGTCCTCCAAGTCATCTCCATCAAGAGTGATTTGATTGGTGCATGTTGTGTTGCATCGGAGAATTTCGCTTTTTCCTTTATGTATATTGAGACTTGCCGCCTGCACAGACTGCTTCTACACTGGTCGTCTTCTCTTGAATTTGTGGTTGTGTGTGAGACAGAGCAGCCAGGTCATCTGTGAAGTTCAGATCGTCCATCTGCATCCTGGTTGTCCATTGTATACCGTGGTTCCCTTCAGATGTTGACGTCTTCATAATCCAGTCGATGACCAGGAGAATGAGAAGGGCTGAGAGTAAGCAACCTTGCCTGACACCGGTCATCACCTCGAAAGAGTCTGTTAGCTGTCCTTCGTGCACGATTTTGCAGTTGAATTCATCATAAGAATTCCGTATGATGTTAACTATTTTCTCAGGCACACCGTAGTGACGAAGAAGCCTCCACAGTGTTTTCCTATCGACGTTATCGAATGCCCTCTCGTAGTCGATGAAGTTGATGTAGAGTGGTGAGTTCCATTCAACTGATTGTTCCACAATGATCCGTAATGTAACATTTTGGTCAGTACACGATCGATCCTTACGAAATCCAGCCTGTTGATCTCGAAGTTGAGCGTCTACGAAGTCGTTCATTCTGTTTAACAATACCCTGTTGAAGACTTTTCCTGGTATTGAGAGAAGAGTGATGCCTCTGTAGTTCTCACATTTTCTGAGATCACCTTCCTTTGGTATTTTGATCACTCTGCGACTCAAACCCAGTACCGTTTGCTCCAAACGCCATTCACTTGTGCAACAGGTGTAAGACTTGACACAATTTGAATAGGTTTCGATTATTCCATCACTGACAACAAATCCAATTTTCATAGTGTTTTTTTAACTGAATAACCAACCGATAACTAAATATACACAACGAAACTATCACTTCCAAACTTTGTGAATCAAAATGATGACGAAGTTTATTAACTGAATACTAAACAACTTTGAAATGAATAGAATGAAACAATTATTATTAGACTGGTAGGTTTGTTTAGATTTCTCAGTTATAAAGGCATTTCATTACACTGATTAAGATCAGCCAAAAATACTATTGAAAATTATAGAACAATGAAAAATTACTTCATTCTTGTATAGGATTTTTCACTTTTGTGAATATATAAACCTGTTAAGGTTTCAGTACAAGAGGTCAGAGTTTTAGATTTATACCAGGCTAAGAAAGTTTATAATTTTTCCTCAAATTAGTGCTTTTTTTTAGCCGGTATGGCAAACCTCATTCCGAACCCTTCTTCGTTAACCGGGCTCGGGACCGGCTATAACCCTAGAGAGCTCCAGGCGAGGAGGCTTCACTGATAAACAAGGTGGATTTGATGAAGATGTGAAGGCGCGGATTGGAGATGCAAGGGCAGCATTTCTTCATCTGAAGAAGGTTTGGAACTTAAAGCAACTAGCGACCAATACTGGAGTCGAATTTTTCAATACAAAAACTATCATCCGGAAGATACAAGTGCTTATTAATAGTTGTCTACTCACGATACTAAGGATCCGATGGCCAAACACATTTTACATTTGGGGATGAGAAAAACCAGATTACAGCAGAAGAAGAAATCATAAGGAAGTACGGGAGATGGAAATGTAGCACCATTGAAGTAAGCACTCAGTTGTGTCACACAGGACAAGCCATCACTTGGAATCTCAAGGGCCAAGGGAAAAGAGGAAGACCAAAAAATCAATGACGCTGATAGTCGGAAGTAGATATGATATGAATGAACAAAAATGGGAAAGAATTGAGGCTCAGGGCACACAGTAGGTTGGAGAATGCTGCTGGTCGGTGGGCTATGCTCCACTGAGGGTGATAGGCGTAAGCAAGTAAGCTAGTAAGTAAGTGCATAAGTAAGTAAGTAAGGAAATGAAAATATTGATATCCCAATAAAATACTCATGAATATGTCTATGTTAAATGATCATCTATATTGATTACTACTATTTAAGAACGAATCAAAAGGCCAAGTCTCTGAAGCTGTGAACTAAAATGACAACAGTATTTTGTTGGTTCATTATGGCAAACTTCTTTTGAATGACAATCAAATTAACGACTATGTACAAATCACTCATATGACAATAACCTACATATATATGAAGTCCATGAATTGAGTATTTTTCAATTTTCATCCATGTTCTTGCCCTAAAACAACTGGTTACATTCACTAATGATTCGACCGAGATTATTGATTTTCATTGTTTGTATCTAGTCCACGGTATTCAGTGGACAGCTAGGACGCAGCTGGACGATCTGGACTTCGCAGATGATCTGGCTCTTCTGTCGCACACGCAACAACAAATGCAAGAGAAGACGACCAGTGTAGCAGCAGTCTCTGCAGCAGTAGGTCTCAACATACATAAAGTAAAAAGCGAAATTCTCCGATGCAACACAACAGGCACCAACCAAATCACTCTTGATAGAGATACCTTAGAGGTCGTTGACACCTTTACATATCTTGGCAGCATCATCGACGAGAAAGGTGGATCCAATGCAGATGTGAGGGTGCGGATCGGCAAAGCAAGGGCTGCATTTTTACAATTGAAAAATATCTGGAAATCCAAACAACTCTCAACCAAAATCAAAATCAGCTTTTTCAATACAAATATCAAGACAGTTCTACTGTATGGAGAGGAAACTTGGAGAACTACGAAAGCCATCATCCAGAAGATACAAGTGTTTATTAACAGTTGTCTACGCAAAATACTTCGTATTCGTTGGCCAGACACCATCAGCAACAACGTACTGTTTGAGAGAACAAACCAGATTCGAGTGGAGGAGGATATCAGGAAGAAGAGGTGGAAGTGGATAGGACACACTACGAAAAGCACCTAACTGCGTCACGAGACAAGCCCTCAAATGGAACCCGCAAGGCAAAAGGAAAAGAGGAATGCCAAGGAACAGACGAGAAATACAGAAAGATTTGAGAAGAATGAACAAACATTGGACAGAACTGGAGAAGGAAGCCCAGGACAGAGCTGGTTGAAGAAAAGTGGTGGGAGGCCTATGCTCCATTGGGGGTAACAGGCGAAAGTAAGTAAGTAAGTAGATGACCTAGTTTGTGTCTAGTTTTATGAAAAGTAATTTCCAATGGTTGGAATGTGAACCTATGACAAGTGGAGTTCACCTGTGTTGACAATGAGACAACTAATCACCTACAGGATTGGAAAATGTCGGCACAATATGATGAACCAGACTGACTAGTACCTGCAGACTATCTAAAATATTAAAACACATTTTTAGAGGTTTAAAATGCCTGGTTCAAGATCATCAGTTTATTCGTAGGCAAACACTACTGAGGAGAACTTAGACTTGAAAGTGAGAAGACTGAAGCAGGCGCAGTAGATTGTATCTTGCAAATTTACACTCTTAGTCAATTAAAAACGAAAGCATTACATTGAACACTCTATTTGCACACCATCTTTGAGTCCTGACTTCCAACGCTCCAGCCTTCTTCCATTCCTGCTGTTGCTTCATTTACTTCCTGTTGATACTCCATTTACTTCTTGATTTTGCTCCATTTGCTTTCCGTTTTCCTCTTGTGACCGTGAGACTTCTTCTCCCTTCTTATACTACTTATATCGTTCGTATAAGTAGCACACACCACAAAAGTACTATCTATCTCATAATTTCATAATGTCAAGTTGTTATTTAAACTGTCAACTATACAATTTTTTTTGTGTTTAAGAATTTCAAAATCTATGTTCAATTTATATATATATATCTATTAATTACGAACTCCTGAAATCTATTTTCAAACTTAAACATTTTCTAAAACAACAAATTATTCACTGAAATCTCATATATATATATATATATATATATATATATATATATATATATATATATATATATATATATAATAGTACACTTGCTCTGTATAGTTAACTATTATCAACTTACTACTACTACTACTACTAATAGTAATAATAACAACGACAATAGAGACAGTATTGTTTATATTCCGTTCTGTTTGTTCATGTTAGCTTACATAACCTTGAAAGAAAACCCCCCCAAATTATGCTTTTGTTCTGTTTATTTAATCGGTGTTAATCAGTGGTTAACGAAATAAACATTGACTAATCAAACGGGTACTTTATTTTTCTAAAAAAATTAGAAATTAAGCCAAGATATGTTTTCAGTAGCATTGAGAAAATTTTTTGGTGAACTTCATGACATGGTACACACAGTAGTTGGCCACAATGACACAGTCTCCATAACTAACAACCACCAATAATCAGGATTCATTTAAATCTTGATAGAGCTATATAATATATTATGTACATATATATAATTTATCAGTGGAAATTGATTGGGGGATTATTATTTTAACATAAATTACACAATAGATTGCTTACATAATCTGTCTTGAGGTGTGTGTGCATGAGTGTGTGTGTGTTCATTGCCTATATTCTATGTGTCCGTACACAATCTCGTTGAGAAAATGCATATTGTTCACAATAGAATTTTTTTTTTGAAAAAAAAATATGGCCATACTTCATATAAATACGTTTGACATTCAATTCAAAATTTAAACATGGTGGCAAATAAATTCAATAAAGAAGCAATTCAAGCTCATAATGAGTAAGTTAATGATTGATTAAATTTCACATCTGTCTCTCTTTTTTAAATGATACTTGTATAAGATATTGATTAGATTACTGTTTGTCAGAAATTCTAATGAGTTTATTGCACGAATTCGATGTCAAAGTATTTTTGAATAAAATACAGTTTTAATTCAGTGGTTTTCGATCATTTTGAGTTGTTCAATTGTACTTATGGTTAAGTTTATTTTCTAAAGTAGTAAATGGTCTGTGGTTACATGAAACGGTACATAATATTTTTGTGGATGCGCACTGCTGAGGAGTCCCATACTAGGACGAAACGGCCGTTCAGTGCTTCCAGGTTTCTAATGGTGGTCTAACAATGATTGATTGATGATTTCAAATGTGTAAAATCGCAAACCTCCAAAACTGTGCCCCAAAATATAATATTTTGATAAAATAAACTTGAAGATTTATCACGTCATATCATTGATAATAATAATAGCAATAATAATAATAATAATAATAATAATAATAATAATTACACAAGTCAATCAAATGCTCAATTTTGGAATATCTAGCCAATTCTGGCCAGTCCACCTCATTAGAAGCCTTACTTAAATCCTTATTTACAGTTAGGAGAGTTGGTTTATAAAGAATGCAAATGAAGAACTTATTTACGAACAACAGAGACTATTGCTATCCACCAGTTCAACTTAACCTTTTGAGTAAAGAAACAATCTGTTCAGTGGCTTATTTTCCCTTTGTCTTAAACTGCCTGTCAATTTTTCCATAGTCGATAGGCCTGTGTTTTTGGTTATAAATTAAACCTAACTGTAAGATCCGATTTTCGAAGACTTTGTTTGTGAAAATCCCTCCATGTATATATACATTTGTAATTTGTCCTTATTGATTCGTTCAGTTATTAGTCGGTTCGATTTCATTTGAGATGATATTATTTGTATTTTATTATTATAGTTTCTATTTCTTGTGACTCTACTGAGTTTCTATGTTTCTTTCTGAACTGCATTTATGGCATAGAAGATATTCGTAGATTACTGGTTTTCGAACATAGGTGTATCCGAAGCATTGCTTGTATATCCTGGGACACCCGAGTGAGCAGCGCTGTTATCAGGAATCGGGTGCTAGGTAAGAAAGGCAGATCGATACATGAAGTGGTGAAACTTCATCACTTGAGGTGGTTGGGACATGTGTTGCGTATGCCCGACCACCGACTGCCTCGACGAGCTTTGTTTTGTAGTGTAGGAATAGGTTGGAAGAAAGCTAGGGGCGGCCAAACCAAAACATGTTAGAAATCCATGAAATCATTGACGAGTGGACTTAACCATGTCGGTAGTTGTCGACTACCTGGTTGGGGTCCGCGAGATGATAATAATCGATGGTTAGAGACCTTGAATGACATGGCTCAAAATTGTTCGCAATGGCGCCGGTGCATTTATTCTCTGTGTTCTCTCAAATCCTAATCTTCTAGATTCTTAAACACATCTAGTTTTGACTTTCTAAACTTTTCTCATTTAATCATACTTCTTGAATAATATCTTCTCATCCTAACCTCTCCGATTACTTCTAATACCCTTACTACCTCTTCTACTATTGGATTTGAATTGACAGTTATATCTCTGTGCTGATGTGGTATGGCAACATGAACTGATGTACTTACGTACAAAGTTCTACGTTGCATCTGACTGATGGCATAGAATAACATTTATTTGTTGCTGTTGATTTGAATTAATTGAACAATCGTTGGTGGAATAACTCAGTGGTAATATTTGTTTAGAGCGGCTGTTTACCCAAATCGCTTGTTTTGGTTTCAAGGCGCGTATCTAAACTACCTAGACAGTAGTTATTCCTCGGTGTCAACCTCAGTTTGGATACTACACTAACTATCAACTGTACAACAGCATACTGAAATTAAAATTGTCTAAAACAAAATTTTCTTTGCTGAATCGATTTTATTTTATTAAGTAGTAGGTAGGATCTGTTGACTATTTCATTGATATTATTAGTTTAATTAAAAGATAATAAGTGATACATTTTCAATGCTCACAAATTTACTAAGTCAATAAATAACAACCATTTAGTTATACAGTTAAAATGAATTGAATTTCGTACAGGATGCATTGAAACATTGAAAGGTTGTAGCGTTGCATTGTTCAACTAGACTGATCTATTTTTAAAGCTTCATCCAGTATGTTATTGATTTTTGCATAGAGTAAGATAAGTTTTATTTCATCAATATTTTAAATCGAACAATTTTTTAACATTCATACAATAGATAAAGTTGACATTTAAACTGAGTACATAAAACAAAACGTTCATCTCTCCAAAGATTAGAAAAAAAGAGTTTGCATTGATGAATATTTCTTGTGATGAGTTGTATTAAAATGATTTTTATTTATTCCCTCTGTATGAAATACTGTGTGAAATAAATACTTGTGTAATATTCACCGAGTTGATGATTTTATGTCATATTACACATTTGAAACCATGTATCGATCAATGTTAGACCACCAATAGAAACCTGGAAGCACTGAAAGATGGCCGTTTCGTCCTGGTATGGGACTCATCAGTGACAGTGCGCATCCACGAATCCTGCACCCAGAAATATTCGGATCCAGGACCTTCGGTCCTGTGCGCGAACGCCTAACCATCGGACCACTGGGCCGGCATCCAACGGTGTTAATTAATGTCTAACTCTGATTGATCTACGGATGTTTGCGCGACATCACCCATTTGTCTTTGGTAGTTACTGCCTACACCCTACAGGGTTCAACTCCATTAGTCACGTCTTCTCAACTAGAACTCCGAGAATTTCCTCACGAAGCTAGTCACCAGTGAGCACTGTTACGATATTTTCGGGCAGAGTTTTGGAGGTTTTGTGTTTGTACACATTTGAAATGATCAATCAATGATTGTTAGACCAACATTAGAAAGCTGGAAGCACTGGACGGCCGTTTCGTCCTGGTATGGGACTCATCAGTGACAGTGCGCACCGACGACTCCTGCATATCGCAGGATTCGAACCCGGGACCTACGGTCTTGTGCGCGAACGCCTAACCTCTTGACCACTGAGCCGGCGTCTAACGGCGTTAATGTCCAAATTGATCAATATTATAAGAAATATATTTCGTTTTGCTGACTGTGATTTTTAAGTGTATTTTATTATTTACAAATCTGCACTCAGGTGTAACTAATAATGGGAACTATGTTTCACATAAAAACTCAAACTCCATGAATGTTGTTTTCGATGTGATTTCAGTCATGATTCATGACAAACGTCTTAAAGATTACTAGTAACCTGGAAGCATTGGACAGCCGTTTCATCTTCAAATAAGACTCCTCAGTAGTACGCATTGACAACCCTGTGGTCCCGAATCAAACCTAATAACCTAGATCTCGCGCATGAACGTTTATCCTCTTGACTACTGGACCTGCGTTTGCGCGCGATACCTTAGGTACTTGGTTTTATTTCTATCCTCAGAATTGTGGGTGCTCACTAGTGAGGAGTCTTTTTACCGGAACGAATCGACCACTCAGTGCCTCCAGGTCTTAAATGGTGGCCACCTAACGCTGAACAATCCTCGCAACCACATACTAAAGTATATAAGTAAAGGTTTCATTGAAATGAAAACACTTGAGTCTAGTTCATTACCGTGTATCTTTAATTTCATGTGGAATCTTTTGATCTGAGAATGTAATGTTAGGAATGTAACCGTTTTAACCATTTAACTAGTAAACACTTAGAAATACACGTATTATATAATTTTAAACTATATTTATACTCATCCGTAAATATTGCCTTGTACAATAACGCTGTTATGCCGAAAATATTCGGTACATGAATTATGTAGCAATCGATTTTACTTTTCCTGATAGATAGACAGACATAAATAAAATAGAACCTGGAACAAATATATGTTTGTCCAGGCTGTTATACTATATTCATAAAAGGAATCATAATGACGGTGAGAAGTAGAACTAAACCTTGAGAAAAGATTTGTTTGAAAGGATACTGGAATTCACAATCACAAGCCGTGGTCACAGAGTGTCTAACCAGCAATCACCAATATCACATGGATACTACTCAGTTCGTCTGGATATGCTTTAAAATGATGGTTAATGACTTCCTCGACTGACTTCATGTCTTTGCCCAGCCGACCTACTTCTGTATCTAACAGCGTCGCACATCATGGTATGCATTAGTTAAGCATGCATATAACAGATATAAAGACTTACAACCCAATCAACTGACTTATCACCCTATATTTAACCTTCCTTAATAGTGCTCACTTGGTCTTTTCATGAAACACAAGCAATCCACACATTTCTTCTATTTTCACGGACCATGTTTTATAACCATGTAGTCGGGCAAAGAAGACTCTTAAGAAGTATATACTCTCTGTTCACTAAAAGACAGATAAGAAGTACACATATCAACTACTATAGTGCTACTTCATGATTAAATCAACAATTATAACCACGATATGTTATAGTCATTTTATGAAGTACGCATAAAAGTCATTAGTCAAATAAAACAACAAATCGAAAACAATAGAATGCTTTACAGCAATTTGTATACATGTACAAAAATGTTCATTCAGACAGTAGTTATTAAAAATAGGATTTGTCTTTTGATTTAAACAATGAATATTGATTATATTTCAATTGCATCATCAAAGTGTATTGAACATCTGGTGTATTAATTTGTGTTTTTTTTAACCTGTACTCCTACATTCATTGGTTGTTTGCTGTTTACATGTTCAATTGTCAAACCAATAATGACAAAAAAATGTCCTTTACACATGCGTAGGTTTTCACTTTCTTGAAATACCTACAATGTTGTAGCAGAAACAATTGAACCTTGAAACGAATGAATTTTTGTTGTAGATTCCTTACTAGTCATAAATATTTAACATTAAAATGATGCGAACTATTTGCAGTTTAGGTATATATACTTTTGGTGTTTATAACCACAACCAGATTCATCACAGTAAATTATCTTGTCATTTCTGAAATATT